ATTTATTTATTTATTTTTAATTGAGGTATAATTCACCTATAACTATATATCTTAGTTTCGGGTATACAACATGATTAATTCCGTCTTGGTATATACTGTATTACATAATGATCACCACAATAAATCTAGTTAACATCTGTCACCACAAAGTTATAAAACTTTTTTTCTTGTGATGAGAACTTTTAAGATCTTCCCTCTTAAAAAGTTTCAAATACGCAATACATTTTTATCAATTATAGTCACCATGCTACACATTACATCCCCATGACTTATTTGTCTTATAACTGGGACCCCCTTCACCCATTTTGCTACCCCCCATCCCCTGCCCCCGGCAGCTATCCCTATTCACTCTTCAGGGGGGCAAATCTATACACTTTCAGTGTTTATCAATAGATGTGACTTACTCTTGGTCCACTCTTCAGAGCGTAAGCTTGAGACTAGGCTGGTGTGCACAGCACTGAATCCAATCCCCAGATTCTCCTCGAGGTCCTCGGCTCCAGTGAGCAGGAAACCGCCCCCCACCCCCACCCCCAATGCTATAAGGACAGAGTGCACACAGAGCCACAGTGCCCAGCATGCACTGCTCTCCAGGGCACACGGGTCAGATGCAAGGTGCCAATGCCTGTGCCCTACGACTCCCGCCTGATTGTTGTACAGGAGTGTGTCTCTAAATACACTTGGGAAAATGAGGGGGGAGAGAAGACCATTCAGGGACATTCCAGGAGCAGCCCTATTTACTCAGCAGTCTAAATCCTAGACCTCTGAGTCGGGGCCAGACAGTAGAACAGAAATGAGTTTTCTCCCTAGATTTTCTCCCATGATCTCTGTCTTCTGAGGAGATTCTTGAGTGTTCCATAGGTAAAACTGTGTGTGTGTGTGTGTGAGAGAGAGAGAGAGAGAGAGAGAGAGAGAGAGAGACCTCTCGTCGATTCTCTCTTTGGGTTGGCATTATGAATTTTCATCTTTTTTCACCGTCACCGTGTACATTTTAGTTGACAGTTGAGAAACACTCTATCAGAGGCTGTCAGCAAGATGCCATTTTAAACTGGAAAATCGCACATTTATAATTTAATATAGAACAGTTGGCCTTCGGTTCAGAGGGTCCACATAAGGTCACAGGCTGTTTGTGACTAAAAGAAAATGAGTCCTTCCTTTGCTCACCCCACCAGTCCCTGCTAACTGTTCCCCTACTGTCTGGGTCTAGGCTTCCTAATGAAGGTCTCCTGGGTGCAAAGCAACAGGGTGCTTCTCAGCAAGGAGCAGCTTAGTTATGTATTCTGACCAGGTGTCCTGGTAGGTGCCCTGCTATCATTCGCCAGAACTCCACTCATCTGTGGCTTCAGAGACCCCGTACACACATTTCCTGGTGACGTCACTGCTTCTCCTGTCACCTCTGGGTTGAGTGAAAGGGTGGAACCCTGCACCGATTCCGTAGCAGGGACCAGGTCCCAGCATTTCACATTCGGATCCTAACTTATCCAAAGGCATCCTGTCTAAAACCAGATGGATCCAGGGAAAACTGTGAGGAAAACAATAAGAACTTTTTAACACCTTCATCTTCCTCCTTCTTAATCCTTTGGCTTGTCTGATGGGTGTCAGACTCTTTTAGGTCACACACACACACACACAAATAAAATAAAATAAGAAGCAGCAGCATACCCAGGTTTTCTTAGCTGATCCATGTCATCTTGACAGAGACCACAGGCATCTTCAACAGATATCCATCTCTGTCCTGATCGCAGGCTTGGCCTAGCCTCCTGGTCCCCTCAGCCTTCTACTGCCCCTCGCCTCTTAGGGATGTGGGTATTCACAACCGCCTGCCTCATTCCATGCCAGAATGTATGTGTCTTGTGGGGTGGACCTTGGGCTCAAGCAGTAGGACACCCCCTTTCCCATCAAGGCTAACCAGGGGCCCTGTTGCTTCTGACACCATGCTGAGTGGGCTTCTGAGCTGCACCATGAGGGGCACAGCACTCACTTCAACTGCATTGCCAAAAGTGGTTCTGGAGAGTGCGATTGTACTTCCCCTGGAGTCTGACGCCAGCATGAGGCAGGGAGCGTGGGAGTGGCCCTTCACTCCCGCAGCCAGCCCAGGCGGAGTGCTCTCTCCTCCTCGGGTGGGTGACATCCTTAGCCGAAGCTTCCTCTGCTCGAGGGTTGATTGTGAAAGTCAGTGGTCTCGTCTTCCAGACCATGGCTCTTGGTGATCCCAGCCAAGCCTTTTCTGAAACAAAGCAATAGCAATAAGTGTCTGGAGCACCAAGCTCTGGCCAATCAAAAGCACTTTACCTTTAGACATTCATGTCTGCTGCAAATTCGCTCAGGAACGTAACCAGCTGCCCTGAAGCAAGGAAGACCACTGGGAGCAGAGCCATAAGATACATAAACCTGCTAGGAGGAAGGGTTACAGAAGTAAAAGATGTATCTGTTAAAATTTCAAATATAGGATCTCACTTAAAGGATTTTAGACACCAATTTTAGGGTGCCTAGATACTTTTAAAACATCCCTTTCAAATCATACCTTGCAATGTAGGAGACCACCAGTGGTGTTCTAGCTGACTCTGAGGACAAAAGTAGCTATTTTTAGCTTCTGAAACTTGTAAAATACACACAAAGAGCTCAGGCTTAAGTACTGGGCATGGCTGGCGTTTCTCACAAAAGCCCTGTGGGATCTGCCGCTGTCTGAATCACCGGTGCTTCAGATCCACTGCCCTTGGTTGGCCTGTGCCAGGTAGGTGGATTCCCCAGGCTGCTGCAGGGCCCTTCTGAGGCTACATCAAATGCACCAGAATGAAACGTTTGTTTGGAAAGCAGATGCTGGCTCGGCCGTCAGGAGAGGTAGACAGAATCCAGAGGAGGCGGAGAAGAAGGGAGAGCAACTTCTAGCAATGTTATCACATGACAGCCAAGAGAACTGCCTGTCACAGCGTCACTGGGACCACAGAGCTGACACTTCAGACACGAGCCAAGGAGCCCCGACATCCTCTGTCTTAGAAAGAACAAACCCGCCCTAATTGGAAGCACTTCTGACAAATAAAATGCCAGAGGAAAATGCTGTCACTTTTCCCTTTTCAAATCATAAATTACCCTCGTTTCCTGGAAAAGAATGTCTAGACAGACTTATTGCCCCTTCGAAAAAGCCGGAGACCTGCTGTTGGAGAATCTTGCTCGAAGATGTGAAAAACATGTCTAACCACTCAGACTTCCAGGATGGAGGGGCGGAAATTGCCACGAGTGACCCACGAAGGGCCTGCTGTCAGAGGGCAGACCTTCGAGCGGAGCTGGCTGAGCCACTGAGGGCCGTTCTCACGGTGAGAACCGCATCCTGGCAAAGCCACAGAAGAGAAAACGACAGCAATCAATACGGATCACAGTGAAGGCCGGATGCGGCGTTCAGCCAAACCTGTCTCCACATCTGCTGTGATGGATGAACTTCTGGGTGCTGATATCAGCACAATTTGCAGCTTCAGGACATTGAATATGGGAGTCCAAATTGGGTAGAAATTTAACTGAAACTGTAGCGAGCCCTCGACGTTCACCAGGGTAAGGCTGCCTCTCGCACTCGCCAACTTCTCCCATGATCGAGCTGCGTTTGAAAAGTCAGCTTTATCCCTTCGCGCGGCTTGGACACACCTTGGCTCTGCAGAGCCTCTCTTGATATATTTAACAGATAATCTCTACGTGAACTGTCTAGGCTTTGAAAGAATGCACAGTGAAGCTTCCTGTAAGGAAATCTGCCTATCCGTTTTCAAGCTTAGTGGGGTGCGTCCTGTGGAATGTATCAGAGAACAGATAAAATCCAGGAAATAAAGCCCGCCCACAGGATCCTCGCCGAACAGCCGCATGGTCGGAAGAATAATGCTCCCCTGTCCCCAAAATGGCCATATCTAATCCCTGGAAACTGTGGATATGGTACCTTCATGACAGGAGGAACTTACAGGTGTGGTTAAATTAGGCTCTTGAGACAAGGAGAGTGTCCTGGATTATCAAGGTGAACCCAATATAATCAAAGGGTCCTTATAAGAGGAAAGAGAGAGAGAGAGAGAGAGAGAGAGTCGGGGAAGGAGGGTGTGAAAAGGAAAGCCGGGGTTATGACGATATAATTGCTGAAAGGGTGGGGGTGGTTACAGAAAGAAATGATGGCATCTTTTAGAAGCTGGAAAAGGCAAGGGATGAATTCTACCCTGGAGTTTCCAGAAGGAATGCAGGCCTGCCTACACTTTGGTATTGGCCCAGTGAAACCCATTTTGTGTTTCTGACCTTCAGAACTGTGCGAGGGTGTACTGTGTGGTCCTAAGCCACAAGGGTGTGGTGATTTGTTACAGCGAAGGCAAATGAATACAGTCTACAACGTTCGCCTTGAACACTCGTTGCTTCTTCTCGTTGTCTCTTTCCAACATCAGATGAAGCATCCAATTCAATCCAGGTTCCTGGAATGATCTTTTTTCTCTCCTTGAAGGACAGCTCCCTAACCTCATTGGCTCTCACCTGCCATGGTGTGCTAGTAATGCCTGCTAGGAGAATTTGCTCTCCAAACAGCCCCAGGGCGGAGCTATTTTCTGTAGAAAGAGAGCTGATGTTGAGGAACTTAGAGCTGGCCACCATCATGGATATTTTGTACCTGTCTTAGTTAATCCTTCCACCTCCTTTTATTCTCCTCAATCATTTTGTGACTGAGGGTACCAAGGTTCAGAGACAGTAAATAACATTCTGTGAATGAGTCACCAAAGCTGGGACCGGAGCCCAGGTCTCTGTGACCCCCAAATTCAAAAGTTCTTTCCATGAGAACACGCTGCTTCTAATTCACGTATACAAACAACGCAATGCTAACAGCACGGTGTCTGCATTGCAGGGCACGCCACTGCCCGGGAGGTCACAGGTGAGGGGACCGTTCCACTTTTTCAATAGGTCGTCCTGGGACAAACCCTGTTTCTTTTCAGGAACAAAACCAATCGACTGTGTGTAGAGGTAAGAAGTAATTCTTCTAAATCTCCTTATAGGGGTATTTGCGTTTGGGCTTTTTGCTACCGACATTTTTGTAAACGCCGGACAAGTGGTCACTGGGCACCTAACGCCATACTTCTTGACCGTGTGCAAGCCGAACTACACCAGTACGGACTGCCGAGCCCACCACCAGTTCATAAACAATGGGAACATTTGTACCGGGGACCTGGAAGTGATCGAAAAGGCTCGGAGATCCTTTCCCTCCAAACACGCCGCTCTGAGCGTGTACTCGGCCTTGTATGCCACGGTGAGTATGCGAGTCTTGCCTTCTCTCCCAAGGTGAGCTCTGGCTGGGACGTGTCTTTCTACCCTCGTCACCTCCATTCTTTCATCACTGTCACTTAGACATTTTAAAAGTCCTGTTGCAACATGTTCCTCCTATGTAATATCATGCTGTTGCCCCTCCCCCAACATCTCAGTGTAATATCTGCCCGAGGATGTTAGTTCTGGAAAGAATGTTGATGATCAGTCAGATTTTCCCATTGTACTGATGCAGAAACAGGCCCCGCAGATAGCTGAGAACACACAGAGCTGACACCCAGGCTTCTGGCTTTGTTTCTGGGATTCCCTCACTGCCCACAACAGCACTCTCTGCCAAAGTTTTGGCTGGTTTCAGAACAGCATATTCCTCACACTCGCCTACAAACTTGCAGGTGTGGCCCACAGCTGAATGGCTGCCCCTGCAGTGCACACGCCGGGGACAGACACAGCGTTCCTCTGCTCCTCCTGATACCTCCCCATCGCTTTGCCAGGACAGGTGGCTGATCCTACAAGACCCCCAACACCCAAAACTTCCTTTCTCACCACTCCTCAGATCACACAGGTTCTGGTGCCCTCACTGGGGTATAATGTTCTCTAAATGTTTTACTCTTATCACAGAGAAATTCTAAAGGGCAACCCACATCTTAAAATCCAAGAAGAGATCATGGTATCCCTCTTTCTTTCTACTCCTAATTGCATTCATTTGGGAAATAATCTCATTGCACCTTTCTCTGGCCTGTGCTTCTGTGGGGGCTAAAACAAATGTTAATGCTTTGCCACCCACCAAGTGCTTCTGGCTGGGCTAATTTTCAAATAACAGAGATTAACAAGAGAAAGTTCAAAGTTTAATATATGCGCGTGAGGAATTCACATGGGCATGGTAATTCCATGAAAAATCCCCAAAGCAATGAAGCAGCACTGGATATATAAGACATTTTTGGACAAAGGAGAAAGGTGGGGAGCAGCGATTAGATTTCAGAGGTGAGAATGAGCGATTTACAGGTGGTCAAGGGAAAGCAAAATGCACGAGGCAGGAAAACCCTTGCCAGGCAAATCGGATACGGTGGGCACCGGGGCATCTAGCTAACAGGTGCCTGCCTGAAACCCTTGTGTTCACCACACTTCATCCAAATCAGCTAACGCAGCATCCTAAAACCTTCCTGAGGCAGGTGTCTCTGTCTGAATCTCTTGGGCAGGAAAGCTGGGAGGTTCGAAGATTCTTTCTGAGTCCTGTTTCTTAATAAACAGTTGAAATTCAGTATGCCAGAAAAGCAGCTTCGGGGTGGAAAAACGTTCCCTCACGTCCATAGAATTGAGAGTTAGGGATCAGCCCAAAGGCTGGATGCCGTGGGCAATTACCGTGGACGCACAACCATGGGTAGAAAACACCCCTTTCTCTTACTTCTACACATTTTGTATTCAGGATATGACTGGTTTAGTGATTCTCAACGAAAGGCAAGGGGAGGAAAAGACAGGAGAGACCCCTTGCAAACCACGCCTTCTTCCCAGAGATTCTAGCACGGCCCCACCCCAGGGGAGCATGTCCCCATCCCCTTCCCCTGAGAATCTGCCTCCGACAGAAGAGTGTTCAAGCAATGACTCCGAATGACATACATTCGGGGCCGAAAAGCGGTGGCTGACTAGCAGTGTGGTCTCTTTAGTAGACTAAAGTACATTGCTCAATATTCTCTTTAAAGCAAAGGTTCCTTCGTGTCCCGTGTACAGGATCACATCCATAGGACCAATTCGTCAACCACTAATTATCCAAAATGTCTTCCTAGTTCATTCCTTTTAAATCTTCTCTTTAATGAATATGTGTAACAGTTATTTCAGCTGCCCCCACATCAGGGAAGCACGAACATAAATCATACAGAAGGCTCAATTTACAAAGCACATCAATTATAGCTCAATGAGGCGTCTTCATTTTATTTTTAAAAAAATAAAATAAGACTATGCTGGGTATTTTTTAAGCAAAGAAAGTCCTCTGAGGCATTCAGCATATTTTTTAATTTTCAAAATATTGACTCGCCTTCAAATATCTAGAACCTAAGTTCTATGTAGCCATGTACTTTAAAAAATATTTTATTGATTTTTAGAGAGTGAGAGGAAGGGAGAGGGAGAGAGAGGAACATTGATGTGAGAGCCACACCCTCAGCACGTGCCCTGACCAGCCACACTTCTGTGCACGGAAGGACAGACGCCCAGGCAACTGCACCACACCCACCAGGGCGAAGCCATGTGCTTGTGCACCGTCTTCTATATGTTTATCAGATTCGATTCATTGCTATGTGAGATTAATTTCACAACACCGTTATAAAATTGAATGTTACTCATAATAAACGACTTTCATCAAGTAAGATATAAATGGGGGCGGGGAGTAAGTAGAGTCAGCTCACGCAGAATAGACGTGGCTACAGAGCACGTTTTCAAGGATTCAGATAGAATTCAAATCATGCCTCACAATCACCCGGTAATCCCTGATGCAAGATTCCAAGTGTGCAAACATTTCTGAGCCCCTATTATGTGCAAAGTGCGTTCAGAAATTACTCAACAAACATTTCTTAGGTACTAGTTAATACTGTGAAGAATACTAATTCACTATAGGCCTCATACTCTTAATAGTTTATAATTTAATAAGAAATGTTTATAAAGGTTATATTTAAAAAACAATATAGAAACAGTGTGGCTCAGTGATTGAGCATCAACCCATGCACCAAGAGGCCGCCAGTTCCATTCCTGTTCAGGGCACATGCCCATGTTGTGGGCCAAATCCCCAGTGGGGGGCAGGCAGGAGGTGGTCAATGTTCTCTCTCATCGATGTTTCTATCACTCTCTCCCTCTCTCTTTCTTTCTCTCTAAAATCAATAAAGAAAAGAAAAAACAATATAGAAGCATAAAAAAATTAAACTTAAATATACCTAGTATAAATTTTACATAATAATTCTTACACAGGCTCAGAATGGTGTAATAATATGGTCTAATTTATATAACTCTGATCTAACCATAGTTTTCTAGGGTATCTGCTACATGTAATGAAGAGAATCCCATCATCTTATGTTCACACCATGTTGAAGCATCATCCTAGGAAATTAATGATTCCCCTTATAATAGTGTAAAATGCATCTATTTGAATTTGCATGTGCTCAGGCCACACAAACACACCACAGACTAAAATTTAAGTATCAGCATACTATTTTTTAGGATTGCAATCTCATTTATCAATTTTGTTAAAGAAATGGTGGATTAATAGTGCCCTCTACTGGTTTCTTGTAGCCATTACCAAAGGTGACCTAACAAGGTGTTTACTTGTTTTAAAGAGGCACTAACTAGGCCAGCAGGGGTGCATTTGGTGACTGAGCCTATGAAACTTGTCCCAGCTCCTCACAATGAAACAAGAACAGAGTACATATTACACCTGAAACTAATATAAACAAATAATTGAATGTCAACTGTAATAGAAAAATAAAAAAAGAACAGCCTACATAAATTTAGGCTTTCTAAATTTCAGGTGTTATAAATTTAACCATTTTTTGCTTAGTTCAGGTCTTCTAATCTTTTGTATGTTGTGACAAAAGTTAAAAATTTTAATATCTTGAAAATACACTTGAGTCAATGAATGGATAGAGCTGATCACAGTTGTCCTGGGGAATGTACAGATCAGTGTCCCAGCACAATTGAAACCTATTTGTGTGACACAGTGGCTGGTAAGTTCTAATTCAATCAACTGATCAGTAAATGCTTTTGTATTCATTGCTGAGAAGTGCGAAGAATCAGCTAGAAGGATGGGGGACACAAAAAAAGTAAAATGTACAGCCGCTCACCTACCTGGCCTTCTCCTCCATTAACTTCATTCTCACAGGTTTATTTAGTATCTGAGAATCTTACATGGGTTTCCTAACACCCCAAATGGTGCTTTAACTTGTTGCGTGAAAACCGCATCTTCTGAATCTGATCATTGTTATGCAGTCATTCTTCATGTACCATAATTTCTGTTCACATGTCCACTAGCATACAAAACACCACAATTAGTGGACATCTGTCCATTGCTCCTGCCGCACTCATTCTCGTTTTCTATCCAGATTATTTACTGAGCAGCTGAGGGGAGCTGCTCACCTGGTTGACATGGCTGCTTTGGCACAGCCTGTTTGTGTGTCCTGGTGTGTGTGTGTGTGTGTGTGTGTGTGCGCGCGCATTGTATGAGGAGGCTGCCTGGTCACTCTCCAGTCTCTGTCCTATTCCAGATGTACATCACAAGCACAATCAAGACGAAGAGCAGTCGACTGGCCAAGCCAGTGCTATGCCTCGGGACCCTCTGCATGGCCTTCCTGACGGGCCTCAACCGGGTCTCAGAGTATAGGAACCACTGCTCCGATGTGATCGCAGGCTTCATCCTGGGCACTGCCGTAGCCCTGTTTCTGGTAGGTCAGCTTCCCTCTTTCTACCTTTTCCCCTCTCATGCCCGCTGAAAGGCTGCCCAAGACCACGGTGAGTTAGGTTCGCAGACATCACAGTCTAAGCCCATGTTTGTCTGGCCCCAACCTTGTGAATTGCAATTACTCTCCAAGTAGTATGCACCCTATTGCTACAAGGATGCTTTCTAAAGCGCCCTTTCTTTAAGAAATATGATTGCATTTTCCTTCTGGGGCTCAGGGAGAGGAATGCCCAGGGAGAATGGCTTGCTCTACTTTCTTCAACACTATGCTTAGGTCTGGGGCATACCTTCAAACCACTGCTCCACAGTATGTGTTCAGGATGCACTGGGCGCAGAAGCTAAGCATCGCTGGGGAAAGAGCAGAGAACAAAGACCACTGGTGGGAGCAGGTGGCCCCTTCTCCAGTGTCTCAAGAAACTCAGCTCTGGCCCAGACTTGCATATCCCACTGCGAAATGTGAAAACCCCCAGCTGGCCACACCCAGACTTTTTAGAAGGTCTCTGATATTATCGGAACCTGCCTCTCGTTTCTGCTACAAGTGACTTCTCAGCCACATATGATCATCTTCCTGGAGAAGCCTTGTGGTTAACACCGTGTCCTCCACATCTTTACATTTCTGATTATATTTTAGTTTCTCAAATAGATGAGAGCCTGGCTACCTGCTCAACTAGAAAATTCCTTAATCTGAGTGGATTGGAAAAGAAGAGGTTAATTTTTATTGTTTTTGTCTTTTTCTCTAGTTTTATCAAGGTATGATAGGCATATAACAAATGGCACAAAAAGTGTAGAATTGGATCAATTTCGACATACAGATACATCTTCTTTCCCACCCTCCCTTTGCCCTCATTCCAAAACCACCCCTATCTTCTTTTCATCACTCTGTATTGGTTTGTCTTTCCTGGGATATAATAGAGTCAAATACTATTAATTTTTTCTGGTATCTTTCACCCAGCATCATTATGAGATTCATTCATGTTGTAGCATGTATCAATAATTCATTCCTTTTTCTTGCTGTACACTATTCCATTGCATGGGCATACCACAGAGGTGAAGGTTTTTAATAATCATCAAGGATTTAAAATAAACCCAAAAAGATCTCCAGGCCTGGAGATTCACATGTTGCACGTGAAATGAATCCCTAATAATATTCAGCCAGCTTTCCCTCTGAGACTGAAGCCATCACCGTCTGGATGTCCCTCTTCCCATTCTGCCTTTTCCGGTCCAAAGCACTCATTGAGACTGGCATTTCACACTGAAGGATTTCACAGTCCGATGACCTAACTCCTCCTGTCCTCCCCAACATACAAAATACACACACACCTCCCCCGACCACTAACGCAGTTTCCCAATGCTTTTACCTGCTAAGATACACTCAGAAAATGCTCACATGTATTCAGAACAGTGATTGGGAAACTCCATTCTAATTCAAAATTATTTTTAATGAGTGTAGGCTTTCCTTCTCTTGTGAAAGATGGATTTAAAGGCAAATTCTCTGGGTGAAGTTGCAGAAGTGATGATGAGGATGAGCCTGAGATGTTGATGTCAGAAGGGATATTTTCCTAAGATTGCTTTTTTTAAAGAGGGAAAGACCTGAGCTGACTTCAGAGAAGAGAGAGTTTTCAAAGAGACATCGACAGAGCATAAGTAATAGGGCTCAAAAGGAAAGCCAGCCAACTTGCTGTCCAGCAGTCCTGGAGCCAGCCAGCCCCAGCTAGAGAGAAAGAGTGTTCACTGCCCAAGAAACTTGACAGGGTCTTTCCAGGATGAAATCTGTAGAATCCTTTGTGTTTGCTACGGCCCCATATACAAACTCTGCTTTTGCTTTAACATTAAACTTGTTTTCTCTCACTACTCACAGCCCTGTTTCCTACCACTCAGTTACTATTTGGTCTATTATTGGCTTCCCAATAATTTGGTCTATTATTTGCCAATTGATGGCAAATGTCAAAATCTGTTTTTTACAAATGATCTTTATGTAAGACCCAGATTTGCTATTGAGTTGCTCTGGCAGGAGACAGACCAACTGTATCTGCATGTGCACATGTTCACACCTCACGTACACACACAGTAAGCTGGGATCTGGGGGTGGGATGGGGGGTCACAGAAGAGACTAGAAGCATTCCAAAGCAGAGACTTGGAGAGGAGACAGAGAGAAAAAGAAAGAGTCTGAGAAAAGGAGCATACTTGAGGCAAGTGTTCATTATTGCTTTGTGTTTCCTATGAAGATGAAAGTGGGGGCGGGAGGAGATTATTTATTGAGCAATTACTACATACCCTACACTTTATGTACACCAAGTCACGTGCTCTTAGGACAACCCTAACAATATTCTTGTCCTCGTTTTATAGATGAGGAAAGTGAGGCTCAAAGATAAGTAACTCGCCCAATGGCCGCACAACCAATAAGCCATGGATCTAACCTGGGTCTTTTCAACTCCAGAGCCTCAACATCAACATCTTCTACTTCTCCCATTTCCTGAATGGAGGAAATTTAAGCAGAGATGGAGGGAAGTAGAGAATATTTATGTAAATGTTCTGCAAGGTTGAAGAAAGACAGGATTCAAAGGCTCTGGGTATAGAAACAGACTCAGAACAATGGAAGAGAGTGTGGAAAGAAACAGATAAACTCTACATGGGTGACAGGCAGAGCAGATGGTAACAACAGACTGAGGCATGAAGGGACCTCAGCAGGAAATAAAGAAAAGTGGGTAATAGTTTAGCGGGAAGGTTTTTTTCACGGAAGCAATAAAAGAAAAGTGTCACTAATGAGTTCTTTGATCTCAAGTAAATAGCGGTTACATAAGTTAAGGATGATGGTCTCAGGTGGGAGTCAGAGACCAGCTAACATCGAATGAGTATTTGCTGTACGTTTGGCACTTGTTACGACGCGAGTTATCTAGCCTCTCGGTGCCTCCTCGCCTAACTGGAGATGATAGTAGTACCACCTTTCTTGGAAGATTGTTGAGAAGGTTAGATGAAATAAGGTAAAACTCTCAAGACAATGCCAGACACATAGTGGCCCTCAATAAATGTTAGGTGTTATTATCAGGTGGTTTGCAATCATCATGTCTTTTCGATCCTTATAGATTTATGAGGTCGGTATTATATTACTCTCATGTTACAGACTAGGAAACAGGCTCGCTGGATGGGTTATCACTGGCCATCTGGTGATTAAAGAGTTTGTTCGTCAGCACTTAGATTGCGCCCAGCAGACACCCTGGATCATGCCCCGGGTCTTTCCATGGTCCCTCCCCACTGGCTCAAAGGAAAAAAGTCACTGTGGCCATGGCATTCTAGGGGAAAGGCCTGCCACCCTCAGAGATGGCCGAGCATTGACAACTGTCATCTGACACAACCTTTTCACCCGTCTGCTTGCAGGGAATGTGTGTGGTCCATAACTTCAAAGGAACACAAGGATCTCCTTCCAAACCCAAACCCGAGGATCCCCGTGGAGTACCCCTCATGGCTTTCCCAAGGATAGAGAGCCCTCTGGAAACCTTAAGTGCACAGGTACCGTAAATCCAACCCACAGGCTTGAGCCTGTTCCTTGGGAGGTAACGAATCCATTCCTCTCCCGAGCAGCAGGGGAAGCCTGAGATGAAGGCCCCCGGGAACCTCACAGCCCCCTCAGCTGGTCCTGCGTTTACCTGGGGCTTGGCGATCAGAATCCTCAGGGGTCCTTCACCGAACTAGCCGAGGCTGCTTCAGGACACCTTGGCCTCCAGGGTGAAACCGCACTTAGGAAATCCGGACCCGTTACATGGGAGGCCCATTTGATTTAGTGACTAGGACAATATTTGGGAAGAAAAAGGTTTGTTCCATCTAGTGACAGGTGTAAACTAGAAGCACATTTAAAAGATTATTAACAAAATAGATGCAAGCGTCCTTTCGGATCTGTTCTGATGACGACAATTGAAAATGCAACGTAACGATACTTACCGATCACTTACTCACACCAGGACCTTGCTTCCCGCCAGGAGCACAGAAAACAATCAGCCACAAGGTCCTTGCCTTCCAAGGACTCTCAGGTGGTTAGGGAGGGTGCATGTGACTGGCTCGTCATAGTCGGGCATGCTGGGTCACCGGTCCAGGATTTGCTGTGTGAGTATAACTGGAGAAGAAAATCTCTTCTGTCTGAGGAGAGAGGGGAGCGGTGGAGACGATGCCATTACTCACTCACTCGTGTTCACCTTGGGCAGCTGCTCTACAAATATATTCTTATTTGAACCAAAACCCATTGAATCGATAGTATAATGCCCATTTCCAGGTTGAAGATAGGAGTACCGAAGGTCAACATAGACGTACCGGGAAATGTGAAATTGCTTGCCCACGGCCACGCGGCCAGCCTGGCAGAGAGCTGGTGGGCAGTTCTGTAAGCAGACGAGAGGAGAGAGACATCATAAAACCGGGTTTTTGTTATCATGCCACTCTTTCGGGGACCTGACTTCTGAAATGTTTATTGTCCATAACAGTCTGATGACCTTGGAATCCAGTTTTCATTTGTCATGTTCTTACTAAACCATCTGTATAGATGCTTCCAGGGAAAAGCAAGTCACCTGCCCCTGGAATTAGCGTGTGCTTCGTATCAGCTTAAGATGAAAATATTTTTCACTATTTAATTGAAAGATAATTAGCTATCAGACATCTCTCTAAGACAACTATCCTATTTAATTTTATCAATAAACCAGAGAAAACCCCGATGAAGCTTTTTCCATCTGGGGAAACATATTTAGGGCTCTCCATTAAGTCCAAAGCCAAGTACTTTTTGTTTATTTTCCTTTAACCTCTATGAAGATGAAATATTTGACTTGGTTTAATTAGATATAATATACTGAAAAATGTCTTGCTGGTTTATATATATGTAGCCTGTTGATGCAGGTGGAATGGCAAATTGGCATAAATAATGATACCCTGTAATGAAATGGTGACATAGGCTCTCCCTAGTGTTTCTTCCCTATCTCATTATGTTTCTGTGCCTGGGGACATCAGAGTGATTCCCTCTGTTTTTGAGGTGAAGCAACTATAGACAAAGGTCAGTTTAAAAAGCAAACTGAAATACTTGCCAAGTTCCACAAACATGTCAGTCTCGGTGTCCTTGTAAATGCTGTTTGCTTCTCTCTAAGGACATCTCGTTTCCACCCATCCTTCCTCCCAGCATTGCTCGAGCATTATCCTCCGTCTGTAGCCTTCTCCAGATTTCCTTCCTTCTTCTCCCTCAGGGCCGTGAATATTTGACCAGGCCCAGAGACAATCAGCACGTAATTTGAGGGGTACTACTAACATTGAAAAGTGAAGTGTCGCCCAGCCAGCCCCATAGTGGCTCCCGGTTGTCTTATTTGTTCCCTAATCATTCTAATTTCATCTTGAAAATTAGTTTCTTGGCCTGGCCAGTGTGGCTCAGTGGTTGAGCATCGACCCATGCACCAAGAGGTCGCTGCTTCAATTCCTGGTCAGGGCACATGCCAAGGTTGTGGGCCCGATCCCCAGTGTGGGGCAAGCAGGAGGCAGCCAATCGATGTGCTCTCTTATCGATGTTTCTGTCTCTCTCTCCCTCTCCCCTCCTCTCTCTCTAAAATCAATAAAGAAAAAAAAATTAAATAAATAAAAGTGCAGTGCCACACAGGGTTTCAAACACTGCTCTTCATGAGATAGATAAAAAACATTCTTCTAAATAATATATTGATTTGTTGCTCACAATAGGCAGTAGTGGGACTTCTTTCCAATCTGTTCACCTGTCTTTGTGCCAGTGCCGATCACCTCATCTGGGGACAATCTGAGGCCTTTCTGAATGCCAGGTTGGGCCAGAGGACCTTCAGGCCCCTCTCTGGTTGCCCCTCACATCTGCCTCCCCCCAAGGACTTAGAGACCTCTGGGCATCTGAACTGTATCTCCCTATGCTCCGTATCTCCTGCACTCACTGGGTGTGAAACAACGTGTGGTGAATAGACAGAAGCAAGCCAGGACCAAAGCCTGAACTAGACACTTGAGTCAAAACCAAGACCCTACAATTGGACCCTAGTCACCATCTGAACCTCCATGGAAATTAGAAACAAATGGGCAACAACGAGCAGGACTTCTGCAGGTCAAAGTGAAGCGACAGGTGGCTGGGTGGACGTTCTTACCCCTCAGGTGCTGCCTTCCATGCCAACTGTGGAAGACACAAGTAACCGCCCCCTGCTGGGAGCGTCAGATGTTTCCACAGGGTTAGCGCAGAGAACATACCCTTTACTTGTCGGTGGAGTAAAGAAAATTGGTGTTTATTGCGAATCATCACAGTCTCACAATAATCCTGCAATTGGCATCATTATTCTATTTTGTGAAAGTCAAGCATAAGAGTTTAAGTAATATGCCCAAGGTCACCCAGTCAAAATTAAAACCGAGGCTCATCTATTTCTAAAAGCCCTACTTGTTACACAACTCGGCCTGGCTTTTCATTCAAGGGAAATTTTATTTTGAAATCTGCAATTCTCAGCCTTAAAAATGGAAATATGCCCTAGGGGATGGTGTGTTTGAACTGAACAACTGAACGGCACACGCTGCTGAATCTGAACTGAGCTACAGCTCTTTTCTCCCCTGTGGGCAAGGGCTCCCCTGTGCAGCTCCGGCAGCCTGGGTTTCTATTGGAAGCCACGCCTTTGTCATTTCTGAGATAGAGCCATCTACCCGGGGGCAGGACCTGGGGGCATCTGAGAGGGGATGTGAACCTCTCTTCAGAGCATACATTCACAGCCATGAAACCCACCCCACTGTTCGAAATACCTCAAGGAGAAGACTCTGAATGGGGAGGGTACCCAGTTCCCTTCTTTCCTCCCTCCTGAGACTCTCCCCTTTGCCATGTGCCGCCCCGAGCTCCAGTGCTCTCTTTCCTCTCGAAAACAGCAGCCCAAATTTGAATATTTGCCTTCTGTGGTTCTGCTTAGAAACGGGGTGCATTTTTCTAAAATCTTGCTCAAGTACTAAGAGAAAACCAAAAAGTAAATAATTACAGAATGCAAACAACACAAAGATGGTCGTTTCCAAAGCATTATTCTGTGGCCCTGTAGAGTCATTGTGATCCTGAAAACAGGACTCCAATGAGCCTGTCTGCATCTCCAGGCCCACATTCACCGGAGCAATCTCTCCTGGTCGAACACAATCCGTGTTAACAGAGAAACTAGAGATGAAACAATGGTGTTAACTCAATTGTGTTAACTCTGGGTGTGGCATGTACAGTTTTCTAGCATCTCCAGATGGAGGAAAGACATTTTTTTTCTTTCTTAAATACACACACACAAAAATCCAGTTTATGCTGAGGCCCAAATGCCTGGGACCTCACTCCAGGAGATTCTAATTTCAGCAGTTCTGGGGTGAAAAACATTATATTTAAGAAAAAATTCTCAGAAGAATTTTAATGGCCCCCTTCATGTAAAACTAGTGATATCATAGACTTCATATTATAAATAGCAAAGAAGACTTGGAATTAAAGAAATCTGCCCAAAGTCACCCATTTAGTTATCTTAGTGTTGAATTACTTTATTTTGACTTCTTACTCTTAAATGGAATCTTACAAACATATAAATGACCAAAGTATTAACCAAAAAACAATTTTCAAAAAGAAAGCATATTATAACACTAAAAACATAAAAGAAGAAGTTATTTTTCACATCATGGCAAAAATGCATCAAACCTCAGTTTTTACAGATATGGCTGGTAAAAGTACCTTGAAAAATACAATATACTCAGTTTCTAAAATTCATGATTGAGTTCTAAAACAGAAATTAGGAAACCTGTAATAATCAGTTAGAGCTATAGCCACTGTTTGTTAAGGTATTTGCCAATTTTATGAACTGGGGGATTTAAGTTCAAAAAAAGAGAAAGCATTTAGCCTGCAAAAGGTGGGGACTATACAGTTGACCCTTGAACAACACCGGGGTTGGGGAGGTGACCCACACACACATTTGAAAATCCATGTATAACTTTTGACACCCCCAAAACTTTACTAATAGCCTACTGTTGACCAAAAGCCTTACCTATAACATTAACAGTTAATTAACACATATTTTGTATGTTACATGTATTATATATTGTATTCTTATAATAAAGTAAGCTAGAGAAGAGAAAATGTTATTAGGAAAATCATAAAGGAAAATACATTTACAGTATTGGAAAAAATCTGCATATAAGTGAACATACACAGCTCAAACCCATGTTGTTCAAGGGTCAATTGTATCTATAAATTATATAAACAAAAGAGAGGGGTTACATAAACAAGCCTACAGATAGAATCACAAGGAAAAATGGAAAAAGCTACAATCATAGGAGATTCTAACACATTTCTCTGTGTGATTAATAAGCAAACAAAATATAGTAGAGACATCAGTGATCAATAAGGTTGATCTAATGTGCATCATACACATTCCTTCTCAAAACACATGAAAACAGACCACAGAAGACTCAAAAGCAAGTCTCAAGATATTTTAAAGACTCTGTATTTCACATTCTCTAGAACAAAATATCAAAGATACCTAAAGACAAACAAAAATACTTCTATATGTTTGAAAATATTCAACTCCTTCTATATAACTCATGAGTGAAAGATTAAATAATGTAGAAATTTTTCAAACAACATATATGCATAGCTCATGGACACAGTATGGGGACAATAGTATTGTCACAGACAATAGTATGGGGAAGGCCTGGGGTGTGCCAGGGGTTGAGTGGAGAGGGGGGGAAAAGGAAGAAAATGGAAGATATCTGGAATACTGTCAACAATATAAAAAATTAGAACTATTCAATATTAAAAATATTACCTTATAAAAGATGAAGTTACTTTGAGATCCTATCTGTTCACATTGGAATAGAGTTGAGTAAGTGTAATGTAAAGCAGAATGATATAGAGAACAATTTGGATGAAAAAAATAATCTGATTGGCCCTGGCCGGTTTGGCTCAGCGGTTAGAGCGTCCGCCTGCGGTCCGGAGAGACCCGGGTTCGGTTCCCGCTAAGGGCATGTACCTCGGTTGCAGTTTGTCCCCGGCCCTGGTTGGTCGTTCAGGTGGCAGCCACTCGATGTGTCCCTTCACGTCGATGTTTCTGTCTCTCTCTCCCTTCCTCTCTCTCCCTCCCACTCTATCTGTACAAAAAATGGAAAAATGTCCTCGAGTGAGGATAAAAAATAAAAAAAAAATCATCTGATTGGGTTAAAACATGAGGGAAGATTTACCAGGAGAGGTAACAACTTGAGGGGCCTTGGAAGAGCATCTCAGAGAGAGGGAAGAGTTCTGCAAACTCTAGGAGACAAGAAGGCAAAAAGAATATTCGGGGGAAAGTGAGCGTGTGAATGTATGTGTCCGTCAACCCTACTCTAAGACTTTGTCTGCTTGTGTTTGCAGAATCACTCTGCCTCCATGACCGAAGTCACCTGAGACGGCCGATGTGTCCCAAGCTGTTTTTTTTTTAAATCACCCTCCGATTCGATACTTCAAGACACACAGTTACTCAATGTCAAACTGTGAAGACAAGTATTACGTTTATCTAGTTAGACGCTAATGTTTTGTACATTTTTGTATGAGGAAGTGATGTAGCTTGCCCTGATTTTTTTTTTTTTTTTTTGGTCAGCTTTAATATATTTATGCCAGAATTTCAAACCAACAAAATTTTCTTCTTGTTCAAGTGTGCATTGAAGAACCACATTTATCCAATGATTGATGTTGTTTTGTGATATTTGTACACAAACCTTCTTTTCTCAGTTTTATAGACACAGAAATAAAATTAATATTAACAGTTCACTTTAACCTTTATTACCACAGTTGCTGCCTCCTCCAGAATTTTTGAATATTAATGAAAGTTAACTTTTGAGTTGCAGGGAGGACAATGCTGGTTAATGGCAAATCTCAAAATCAATTGTACAGAAGGAAATATTACTTTCGAAAAGAACTTTGTGTTCTGATCTCTTGTTATTGCATTCTAAGTTAAAGTAATATGTTAATGAAGTCACCTAGTTACACATACAATTGGCAGAAAATCCTGAATTTGAGGGGTGTTGGGATTATAGGATTCTTTCTTAGACAATGGTTTCTCCCATCTAAGAAATTCAAGATGATGCTGAAATGATTTCCTTGGGCAGGCAGGTGATACTTTCCAAACCAGCAGCCAGCACCAGCCTCCCCTGTCAACTCAACAGTTTTGTATATCATATTGTATGGACTTTATATGAAAATGAATATTTTACAGTTTGCACAGTATTATTTTACAGAAAGGGTATCAGAGCATCTACAACCCAGAGCCCAGAGCAACGGCTTGACTTTGTGGCTTTTAATTGTTCTAGAATTTTAACTGCATCTCATTTTTCTAGCATGGTGATAACCGATGTGTAACTCCTTTGAGAGGAGCTCCCTTGTCTGTACCTGTCCAAATGTTTTCTTGACACTTCCATGTTGGCTCTTCTTACCTTTTTTTGTACATATTTTTTTTCTAAAGAGAAGAAAAAAGTTATCACAAAATGTATTCTGGCTCATGTCCTTTGTTTTAAGCTTCATCCACTGGGCAGAGATATTTAAATCATCACAATGACGTGACCTCAAAACACATTCCTGCTTTGCAGTTCTGTGCCTGCTGAGCCCAATCCTGACAGATGCTGCTCATGTCAGCACCAGTATTAGAATCCAGGTCTGCCCGGCTTCAAATTCCACTCTTTCCACTACGTCAAGATGCCTTCAATGCCTTCAAAGGCTTTTCAATGTGATACACCTATTCAGATGATTCAGGGGACAGTGTAGGTGAAATACCTACTTAGATGGTTCAGGGTACAGTGTAGGTGATATACCTACTTAGATGGTTCCGGGGGTGGGGTAGGTGATATACCTACTTAGATGGTTCCGGGGGTGGGGTAGGTGATATACCTACTTAGATGGTTCCGGGGGTGGGGTAGGTGATATACCTACTTAGATGGTTCAGGAGATGGGGTAGGTGATATACCTACTTAGATGGTTCAGGGGGTGGGGTAGGAGATATACCTACTTAGACGGTTCAGGGGATGGGGTAGGTGATATACCTACTTAGATGGTTCCGGGGGTGGGGTAGGTAATATACCTACTTAGATGGTTCAGGAGATGGGGTAGGTAATATACCTACTTAGATGGTTCAGGAGATGGGGTAGGTGATATACCTACTTAGATGGTTCAGGGGGTGGGGTAGGAGATATACCTACTTAGACGGTTCAGGGGATGGGGTAGGTGATATACCTACTTAGATGGTTCAGGGGGTGGGGTAGGTGATATACCTACTTAGATGGTTCAGGGGGTGGGGTAGGTGATATACCTACTTAGATGGTTCAGGGGATGGGGTAGGTGATATACCTACTTAGATGGTTCAGGGGATGGGGTAGGTGATATACCTACTTAGATGGTTCAGGGGATGGAGTAGGTGATATACCTACTTAGAAAAGCACATCATGATAAAAATGCATTCTACTTATAAGAAGAAATAATTTGCAAGCTCTGGGCTCTCCAAGGTTCTATAAGCTACCAAAGTGTAATGTTGCCCAATTTTAGACTGATTCATTTTCTAAACCTATTTTAGGATTTTTACAATAATAGCAATGAGTGCTCAATTCTATTTCATGCTTATGAAACGACCTTCTGGAAAATGCTGTCAGGTTATATTGATGTTACATTAACCATTTCTTGTCTCAGTGAGAGACCATTTAAATGTCTAACTACCAGTTGGTATTTTTAAGAACTTAAGTTGACAACGTGAGTGTTGTCCTTGTATTCTTCTCTCTGGTTTCAATCTGGAAGGACATATTAGAAACTTTCCAAGATCTCCAGCCATAGACTCCAAGTTCCCAGACTTTGGCTTGTGGTATATTGATACATGACTGAGTCATGCTACACAAGACAGCACACTGGGGCACTTGGAACTAACGGGCATCTCTGGGCTCGCATCCCTGGGACCGTTGAGTCCGTCCGATTCCTTCCATTATGCCATGGCAACCTTGGTGTTGCCCCTACTTAGTCCCAGCTTGCTTCATGGGCCTCACATTGATCTTTCAAGCCTGAAAACAGAGCTTTATTTCTGAGGGCTAGGGACCTCTCCATGTGAGTCTTCTACCAAGACAAAGCCCCCTGTCTAAATTGGACAAGTGGTCACTTAGCCTCAGAAAGAATTAATTCTGCAATGATCTTTTCTTTCTCTTTTTAAGGAAAGCCCAGAGGAGCCTGAGAAGTCTGATCCCCTGTGAGAGGGAAGTAGAGAGAAACGAAAGAAAGGCTAATGAAGTGTGCTGACATGAGCAACCTCAGGAGGCTCTCAGTCCCTGAAGAGATCTATGACATAGTTCATTTCTTTGATCCAGCACCCAGAACAGGGTTGGACACAGAGCAAACAGTTAAAATGTGTCACATATATGGATTCCAGGCTTCCTTCTAATTTGGTTAAAGGACATTTGACTCATTTGGAATAGAGAGAATTTGAATGGCGCCTAAAGTAATAATAAGCAGCCCAGGAGGACTCCTTAGAAATACAAATCTGATTATGCCAGTCTCTTGCTTACTGAGGACAGAAAGCTCAGTAAATCTCTCTGGTTTCAATTTGGAAGGACCTATTAGAAACTTTCCAAGATCTCTAGCCATAGACTCCAAGTTCCCAGACTTTGGCTTGTGGTATATTGGTACATGACTGAAAGATAATATATCTAGATACAGAAATAATAAGGGTGAGGAGACTACACTCAGCAGTTATGAACATGTGGTTGCCTCTTTCGGTGAGTCCTGGCTGTGGTAGACAGAAGGCTGTGTGTCACTCTCCTGAATCAGAGAATGTGAACAGGCATAATCCTGAACTCAGAAGGAGGGGGAGTGGTTATCATTGGGATGATTTAAAGAGCAGAAGAGCCAGGAGTAGCATTTTTGTTTCAAAACATTGACTTGATTTCTGTATTATATGCAACTACCAGAACCTCTCAATAGTGTTAAATATCTTGGAAGCAGACACATCAAATACTAGATTTCCCTAGTCTGTGTTGAAGAGTAGGTTATATTAAGGCTGTTATACTATTTCTGCCCTGCTGCATTCAAGATGTGTACTAGAACTAGTCTGTCATTTACTATAATCCCTGGTACAACCATAAAATTTTGGAATGAACACCAAACTCCTTGCTTGCATCCTTGTTCTTGATCCAGATGTCCCAGGATCAACTGATACATTTATTCATTCAATAGCTATTTAATGAGCATTTATCGTGTATCAGGAATCATGCTAAGAACTGGGAATATGCAACAAAATAAACTGACCTTCTTCTACCCTCATGGAACTTAGAGTCAAGTGGAAGAAAAGGAAAACAATCACAAACCAATTAATATATGATTAGTGCTTGGAAGGGAGATCTGATTTAAATAAGGCAAGACAATGTTCCGAGGAAATGCTTCTTTAAAGAAGTGACATACATGTTAGAGTGAGTAGAAAGTTAACTAGACAGAAAGCAGAGAAAAGCATATGAGGAAACATCATGTGCAAAGGTCCTGGGGCAGAAAAGAGCTTTACATATGTGAAGAAGTAAAGGAAAGCCAGAGTGACTGAAGGATACTGAAAGTCAATGATGCTGGTAAGCATGTTGGGGACTTTGGAGGCCTTGTTATGGATTTTAGAACTTACCCTAAAATTACAGGAAGCCTGAGGGGACAGAAAGCCCTCAGTAAGCAAGAGAATGGCATGATCAGATTTGTATTTCTAAGGAGTCCTTCTAGGCTGCTTCTGTGTGTAGAAGGAGTTGAAAAGAATCAAGAATGAAAATGAGATTATCAACTAAGAGGTCACTGTATTGGGCAAAACATGATTCGGACTTGAATTAGGGTAGTGGTAGTAATGACAGAAAGTGGGTTGGACAGATATGAGAAACAGCTGGGAGGCAGACTCAACAGAATTTGCACCTGGATTGGATGTGGTAGAATAACAGCTTTCAGTAACACTTTCTTTCTAGAGAAACTTTTCTAAATTTAATTCCCATGCTTGGTGACAGATGAACAGCTGGAGAGGAAAAGGAACTGAGTTTGCCTCTCCTCTCCAGCCCATCGATTCCTATGGAGCCAGGCCACTCCACACGCACTCTGACATCGGAAATGACTCTGCCAAGAAAAGCAGCATTTACCCCGCATGACACTGGTGCCTCTGTCATCGGTGTGGCTTGCTCGGTCTGATGCCCTGCTGTCAGTACCTGTAGAAGGCTACAAGTAAGCCTGCGTGAAGAGTGGAGAGTAGGGTGGGTGTGAAGCTCTTTTTACTTTGCCCTGTCAACTTGGATGGGACCATCAATGTTTCTCAAATATTTTGGAACAGAGAATATTTCTTCTTTTGGGACAGTGATGTTTAATGTTACAGAAAGTCATACCTCCATTGAACTTTGAGCAATCTTTTTCCATTTCAGGCGATGTTCTGCAGCATTTCAGAATTGAGTAGATCCAGGCTCAGTAGAGTCAGATAAGCTTATTATATATAATTTTGTATTTAGTATTTATATTGCCTTCTTGTTATTCCTCTTTGTAGCCAACAGAGTTTCTGCTCTTTGGAGGGACCGTATAGTGAGGTATTTCCCCATGTGGGCATTTCTCCTGCCCACTCTTCAGCAGCCACAGGGGCAAGTGTGGAGACAGGCAGCTGCCCCTCCTCCAGCTGTGTGCTGTCGGGGAGGCTCTCTGGTTTGGGGTCTTGGGCCCAATGATGTCCACATCTAGGGCTAATTAATTAGTAACCAGTTGTTAACTAACCATTAGCGGGATTTTGAGTTGTTTGACCACCTCAAAAATAGATTTTTATGCATTTTGTAAAATCATACCAAGATCCACTGGGTATATATTAAATAATCTACCACTGGCTGATGAAATAACTGATATTCATGAACATGTACCAGCTCTACCACCGTAACTTTTGCCTCATTGGCATGAACTGGAGCCTTTAACTCTGTTAAAAAAGAAAAACAAAAAGACTCCCTTATTAAATGATAAACCAAAGGGCCTTGATATATGTTCTTATAGATTCTTAGCAAAGTATGCCTTCATCAGATTTATTCCTTCTCACTCTCATAGCATCTCTGTTCTGGGAACTTCAAAATAAAAAAAATACTCTGAGATGCAGTTCAAATGCCATATCTTCTACAGTGCTCTTTCTGGTGACTGAGGACAGAATTACCACCACCCCTACCGCCACCCACTGCATTTCCATAGCTTTTCATAGTAACTTTACCTCTACTGGCAGGGGCGGGGCTTGGGGTCAAGGCAAGGAAGGTATGGTCTCTGAGTCTACCCAATCTCTCAGCAGATGACCAGTTCTTTGTGAAAGACTCTTACTTATTGAATGTAGCAGAATAAAAGATTTGACCCGTTTCTCTGCATAAATATTTTCTAAAACCAATACATTTCCTAATAAGCTTCTCTATCCCACTAAGTAGAGGGGGAAAAATAAACTTGATTTGCCAGTTAAATGTAATTGCCTCTCTTCCAGTCAAACGAGTC